ATCAGGTACTAATTAAAATGTTAGTAATTTGGAGATATCATTTTATCAGGTAGTAATTAAAATGTTAGTAATTTGGAGATATCATTTTATCAGGTACTAATTAAAATGTTAGTGATTTGGAGATATCATTTCATCAGGTACTAATTAAAATGTTAGTAATTTGGAGATATCATTTCATTAAGTACTTATTTGTAAATAAATAATTATATTTTTGTACTAATAACTTTTCGCTTATTTAATGTTTTATTCAATTAATTTTTGATCCGAAAACTTTAAAAGTTTAAAATTTAAATTTACACTAACATGTTTAAAACAGTTGTGAACACTACCGATACTCTTTAAAAGGCATATTTTATCAACTTTTCCAAATTTCAGTTGTAAGTATTATCAAATTTTGAATAAAAACTAGATGCTATATTAGTGTAAAGTATATCAAAAATACAAGAAATACGAACATGAAATTTACCATATCAATAATATATGATGATATTATCAGTACAATCAAATAAAAATCATAATATTACAGTAAGACAAATTTATGAAAAAAATTATTAAAATCGTTTTTTTTTTTCCAATATGCAACACTTAATTCTGATCTGAGCATCTGGGAGCCGTGGGCTGGACACGGCCTTTCAACAAGTTTTTTTCTACCCGCGTAATCGCAGGAGAAGCCTGCCGTCTTTTCTTCCCCTACTGCTTTTCCTTTGCATAGCTGAATGTCATCCATCCGCCATTTTGACAGACGATGGAGATTGAGCCTGATTGGCTACATACATATTTGGAACCAATTAATGTTTAGATCAATTTTCTTCATCTCTTCTTTTTATTTCAATCCTATTTCTCTATTTTATTTTCCTCCTATCTGTTCATATATTGGCTAGGTTTCTTTTTCCAGTTATTTTATATGAAATGCTTCAAATGGGAATATTACAATTTGATGTTTTTGAATATAATCTATCGATCAATGCTACTCGTATATCCTAAATTTCCATTTAATTATCATTTATCATATCATAAATAGACATCCTAATCTAATTTTAAATCAAAACATTTTAATGTTAATGACCGTTGACCTTTCATCATAAACTTCATCATCTCAACATTAAATAATGATATGAATTAGGTCTTCCATATTTTTAGTGAATTTATTACAATATTTTATTTACTTTTTTTTATGAAGGAATGGAAAATATAAATGCATACGGATACGGTATTAGGTAGAACTGAATTAAGTATATTAGTTCCGACTCTCGAAAATCATTCCAATTTCTCATGTACTCTCGTGGAAAAATCAATTATCCATCCTTAATTTAATTGTAAAGCACTGATATGACTGCAAAATGAGAAATAATTTTTTCAAATTCAGGAAATTTTGTATTTGTTTGTTTGTATAAAAATTTTTACAAACAAGAAATTGCCTAACTGAATTTTACAGAAAAATTTTCAAACTAATTTCTACCAAATCTTTTAATAACCTCTGCCTACGAAATATTACCTAGTAGTTTACGATAAAATACTTTAGATAAGTTATCCTCTGACCATTACTACAATATGTAAACATTTCAATGGTATTGAAGCGCATAATGGTTGTTTATATCTACAATAATCAACTAATTTCTCTTCCATATGATATACCACATCTTTTATCTTTAGCAGATTATAGGTAGGTAAGAAATCTAAGATTTTGGCATATATCTAATTTAATTTTAATAGTACATTTTGTCAAAAGACATATATACAAATTAAATTCACTATTTAAATAAATTAAATTTCTTTGTAAAATAACACTGCTTTATATGCTTGTTAGCGATGATCTGCATTTTGAAAAAAATGTGACAATAGTAACAGGGATGATTTCCTTTGATTAATTCCGCTTTATGCAATATACAAAGAGAAAGATTCCCAAACTTCGTGGATAAGCAGTTGATGTCAGATATGGTAAGCTTTTTCGGAGAATGCATTAGTTATTTCAAATACCGCTTAGATAAGATCAGATGTTAAACTGAACTCCACAATTTCACTCGGCAATTTAATTACTGTGTAAATAATTTCGGTAATTGAGCAAATACATGTGAATAGAAGTATAAAGTAGGCCAAAATATCGTCACGAGAATCTAACTAGCCCTAACTTAATCCTTTAAAATGGACAAATTCCACCAATTTATTGAAATCAATACATAAACTATGTGGGTCTAGGTTGTTTGTACAAATTGACCTTTTCACTGTTTTAAAGGAATTTAAAACAATTTGAATGTAATCACTTCAAAAGGTGACCAACATCAAAATCTTTGCACTTAACACCCACATAACAACCAAAAAACAGTTCCAATGAACCAATATTTTTGCCAGTAACCTCAATTTTCTACCCGTATCTGACATTTTAAACCATATCGACTACAAATAACTAGGTTGGATACGACCATTTAACATATTACGCTCCTTGGCAATAACACTACTCATCAAATCAATTTTTCTAACAATTTTTTGACGGTTCGTCAAAATTTGCCATTCCTTTAAAGTGGTAATTACCATATTTCAACATCCACTGAATGGTGAACATAGACAACTGGCTACAATATAATACATGGTACAGAAGTAATTTTCGATAGATTTCAAACATATTTCCACAGAATTACTCACAGAAAGCCCAGAAAGACTGTCAACTGAAAAATTCAACTGAATACAAAAGTATTCCTATTGTACCAACTCAACAGGTAAATCTCTCGTCCAGAAAATTGCTTACAAGGAACTTTCCAAAAAAACTATGACTTCCAAAAAATAACACGAAAAACCTTAACATATTTCTTCAGTCAAAATATTTCTGTCAATTTTGTTTGCCCTAACACTTCTTCTACCCTGTAGCATAATACAATGGATTACACGACAATACCAACCCAGATATTAAGAAGAAACGACAAAGAGAAATGCGACTTATGCTGCATCTTAAAGAGGTCCCTACAAGCAGCCAACTGATGAAAATTCCTTTTCCTCCACATATATTTAACTGTTTTTGTAATTCCCATGTTATTCGGAGCTGTTGCTTTTTTCTACCAAATAAGTCTGTTGCACCATCAGTAAATCATATGATACACCAACTGGTACACATTCTAAACCCTACGTATTCGCTTTATTCACAGAATTATTATTTTTTCCCTGGCCAATGTCAGCTACTAACAAAACAGTTAATACAATAATCAAATAAATCAATAAAAAACATTATACAATGTATGTTCTTCTACAAGCTCTACGTGTTGGCTAATTTTGCTGCACTTGCATCACAAGCTACTATTTTCACACGATCAACGATTCCATCTACCGGCTGTGTTACATCACGAAATTCAACGTTTTCCATTACAAATGTCCAGACATTGTCACAAAATCGATATGCTTTCAGTTTGTCAGCCTATAATGAAATTCATGAAGTGATGTGGAAAAATTCCTGCCACAACTGAGAGTCCTAAAACCATGGGATTTATGGCGCCAATGTTGCATCCTTTAACCATAGTTATGGACATGCCAACCAAATCTTAATCTTTTCATTTCCCTATCTTAATCACCTAATCCTGATCTCATATCCCAATTTTCCTCTTTTGAGCGAAAATATCCAGCAGAAAATGACTCCAAATAATCGTGAACTTGTGTATGATTGAAATTAAAGAATCTCAACGAAAATCAGAATATCAGTACATAGTTACAAATAGACAAACTAATAGAACGCCATTTTTCTCCCATTTGAGAACTACATTTCACGGACAAATCTCGGAAGTGTTGAATATAGAACTAAGACTCACCTACCTTGAAATTAACCTTGTTTTTAACTCGTTGTGATAATGCCCTGTTGATGCATTTATCGAATGTTGTCAATACTGTTTGAGCTAAGGAAGGTGTGATTGTACCGTCCTGTAATCATACATAATATATAATAGCTACTCTGAAACACCACAAGCAATATCATTTTCCTGAGAGGAAAGGAAGAAAGTGTAAAACAATGGACGTTAACCTCGACAAATTCATCCAAGGTACTTCGAAGAGCTATACCCAACGTTGTCGATCTATACAGTTGATAAGACATCTAAAAGTTCGACATTCAAAGTCACTATCAAAATGATAAATATCTAAGCAGTCAATGTGTAAATTAATGAATACGCATGGATCTGTAGACGGACAGAGAGAACGGGTGATGCATGGAAGAAAGAAAAGCGAACAGAAAACACTGATAGTTACGACAGACGTAAATACATAGGACCGTACCATTCTCGCTTCAGGTAGCACCATATTTATATAATTTTTGAACATTTGCATGAAAAATATGCAACGACTCCCTGATATCGAATTATAAAAGTTTCACAAACTCTTGGAAATTTTATTTACTACATAAATATAACATAACAGCAACAAAAACAATAACAAATGAAAGAGGGAACCTCGCTGATTCTCAGGTCCTCAACTTAAACCAAATCCTTTTCGAGTCCAAACATATAACAAACGTATGGGCTATTCTGTTTTACTAGTTAACAATTGACGAAAACTCTCTGACTTCCCGAATCTTGCTTTAAAACAATAGAATCCTGAAATAATGGCACCAAATGGACTGATTTTACCGGTTAACAGATGAAAATTTGCAAAGTTGTCCAGAACTATATGACGCATATAAGGTAGGTCCCTTCACATGCAAATCCATTGAGAGCAAATGAGAACCTTTCACAGCAACACTTTGTGATAGAAGTACCTGGAAAAGATAGCTGAGCGTTGATTTTCCAGTTAAAAAAAAGTTAGATATTAAACATTACAACCAAGTACATGTAGGTTTCCTATGATATTAGAAAAAAACGGTGTACAAATTTCAAATTTTCGAAGGCTATCAAGAAAGCTAATGCCAATACTATAAAGATGAATAATTTATAGTATAATATGCTTCAGTTTCAAATACAATCAGATGTACGGTTAGATATATGTCGCAACACGTGATTTACACTTCATGAAAAAAATGTAAGGAGCTGGTTAATAATCCATAGCAAAGGGTGCAGCAAATAACTGCACTGGTCACCATCAAAACGCAGAATGCGTACACGTAAAGTTCCACGTTTCCAACTGAGAATCTGAGATCCTTGCGACATGAATAACATCTTATATGAATTGTATATAGATCAAAACTGCATTGTAAATAATAATGAAAAGAAAACTTACTAAAAAGGGCAAACCACTCCGACTATCCCACATCTTAATCATACCGCTATAACCAGCACCAATAATGTACATGTCATTCGACTCTGTCATGTACCACCGACAGGTCACCACCGGATCAGCATCATCTTTCAAAATATGCCGTAAAGTGCTGGCACTAAAATCGTAGATTGCCAGACGTCCAGAATTGGTACCAACCACGAACCATGGCTCTTTTCCTGGACAAAATTTCACGCATTCGATTGCCACTTCGGGAGCCTTAAAATCAGTGGAATAATTCATTTATGTGTAATTCCACACACCTGCTATGAAAATAAGTGCTTCCAGAATGACAATATATCAGTGTAAAATAATGTGAATGATGGGAAATTTTTACCGTAACTCCTTCAACCACTGTAAATATCCTCAAAATCTTGGCGGTTTCTGTATTTACAAAATAACAACGTGACATAAGATCTCCAATAATTGCTACAGGTGAACTATGATGAACATCCAAATATGTAGCGCTTTCAGCTCCCGTCACGATGCTAATAGATTTTTCATCTTTCAAAGACCATAATCTTACAGAACCATCTTCATAGCATGAAAGAAGTCGTTTTCCATCATTTAGCAGTCTACCGTCGACAGATGTGGTGGGCGAATCACACATGTATACCTGCACTTTCAAATATAAGTAACAATAAAGATGATTAAATTATTTAAAAAAAGCCATCTAAATACTGAAAAAATATAAGAATTAACAAACAATCAAGTGAATCGACATAAGTGGTGTAAAGAACAAGGGAATAACAGAAACCTTTGTTTGTCGAACACTCTCAGTCGTAATAAGCCACATCCAAATACCATTTTTACCACCGGCAAACAAAATATCTGCAGATGAATGCCACTGTATCCACGATAACTCCTCACAATCATCAATCTTTAAAATGAACATGTTACTGTAAAAGATCTGACGCACTACAGAAACTTAAACTTAGTATTCAACAAGCGATTATGTAACCACACAACTGAAGCTAAGAATCCTCTGCTCCGAACACAAAAGTTCCATCTATATACTTTCCATCCGTGAGGTACGTGATGAAACTAAATAAAAGTCTATTATTCTATACCTTAAACAAAAAAATCTTATAAGGAAAATATCGAGATAACAGGATTCTGAAATTCTTCCATATTAGTGAGCCTAAACCGGATGAAGTAATTAGTACCCAATCTCCTGATTACAAAGCTTCAGCAAACACTAGATCGCTTTCTCTCTAACACTTACCGAGAAACATCTTCCTAGTTTTGTGGTACTGTTTACTACAATCAAGCCACTCATATCGGCAGTAGCCAACATGTGCCCCTTCGCACTAAATTGTGCGCATATTACACTATCTCTGTGTTCATCAATCCTCAAAACCAGTTCCAAACCTTGAAAATAAAAATATCAACGCGCGTTTCATTAGCAATGCAAATTAAATTTAGTGGACAGTGATGGATTAAACCTAATTTCATGTTTGACTAAACTATCTTTTAGTTACTTAAATGAATGAATCCTGTTATTCGCAAAATTCCGGAAAAAAGTACAAAAAAAGCTCAAGTTCCCCTACCACTAATTCGATCATAAGCGTTAATAAGATTGCCCTCCTCTATCAGAAAAGTGAATCCAATAGAAAATGAATGGAAAATGCGAGAGACGCCTGTGGAAACAAAAAATGAATGCAGCTCAAGACTTAAGCAGCCTATTAATTCACTAATTTGATTAAGTAGGATTACTTTGCAGATCGTACAAAATAGCTTGGTCATCTTTTCCACCAATAGCGAGCCACTGATCTTGAAAACATGTGACAACGAAAGCTTCATCCTTGCATGCCGAAATTACGTTATCAGCTTCCGTTATCGCATTTGGAAAGTCTTCATTGCAGTCCATTTCGATTTCACCCCTCTCAACTAATTCCATATCGTCATCTGAAATTTTTTTTAGTCGCAAGAGTAATTCTAGAGAGTTCGCCCCTTTTCACACTTTATTCTATTCTAGGTGCGATAGGCCTAAAGAGAAAGCTGCTTAATTAAACGTTAGGGTAGACATTACTTAGTGAAAGAATTAATATAGATGCATCCTTCCTGAAATAAAGAAACAAGTCAATTTATCGTACCTTCGGCCCCCGAAACACCACATGTCATCTCGGATACTTCTGACGTGCCATTCGTGGTATCGTACAGAGGTATAATATGTACAATGTCTTCCTCATTAAGCAATTCTTCATCTTCGTCATTTGTTTCGTTTTCTTCCATCTGCATAACAACAGAATGAATAATATGACCATTATAATTAAAGGCAATAATCTGTTATCCTTCAGCATATTATCATGCAACTTATTGAATGACTTTATTTCTACAATTAGTGAAGACATTTTTGCAATGTGTAAAATGACAACATTTCCAAACTATATGTTACTGATAACAGTCTCCAATGCTGTTGACAAATACACGACATAAGAAAGAAAGTGACAGCAGCACCGAGAACACGGTCTGAAGTGCCTTTCAACACGCTCTGCTGTAAATTAAATGCATCGCCATGAAAATTAATAATCCCGCGGAGTTGTCTTCTCTTTACAAAACCCGCCCCCTCCTTCCTTCACTATCGATTCAGTTTTAATGATTAGTAATTTGTTTAATGCCGACGACAAGTGCTTTGTGAACTGGTTCTAATTGAAGTTCAGGTTAGTAAATTAAGTTTTTTTTTATAAGTTTTCATTCATTTCTAGAAGTTATTTTAGCATAAAAATTACAACAACTAACCATTAGATGTATGTTTCTTAACGTTATGATATCTAGGATATCTACAAACAAGAACATATATCGGGCATCTCATGGCATTATGAAATATTACCGAAAATTTTTAAACGATCAAATGGTGTCACATTAGTCCCAAAATTTTGTTATGGAAAATTCGAATGAATGTATCCCATAATCAGCATGACATTCCAATTACATTAACATTTATCCGAAATTTTCTGAGAGTTCCTTATTCACCGTTTAAGGCAATCTTCGATGGCTTAATTGGAGAGACAATCGATTAACTGGTAAAATTATGGCATAAATGATAATCAGAGATATTTATTCCTGTTGCTGTTTTCCATATCATTTCCGGAATCGGAAAGGACAATACGGTCACTCTACGGCTCCATCATCCCTCTACATCTTTACATTATAGATTTACTCGAGAAGCACCCTATACACTTTGGATTGGATGCAAGTATTCAATCAACTTCCGATTTAAAAATGCTGCTCTTGAAGCATGCTAGGGGTGGAAGTGTACCTGTGAGTGTGTCTCTGTCTGTCTGTTTGTTCCTTCAAATATGTATTGAGACACATGCACACATATACACATACACATACACATACACACATACACACACACACACACACAAACACGATAATAGTATACGCATATACAATACTTTTGGTGTGTGTATGTGTGCGCGCTTGTTTGTATGTAAGTTGTATGTGTGTGTGTCTGTCTGTCTGTCTGTATAAATATGTGAGTATGCCACTATGCTCGAGAGGAAAGCAGCGGAAAAAGGAGCGCAATAAACGATAAGACCACCAAGCGACTAACCGATCGACCGAACGACTAACCGACCGACCGACCGATCGACTGATCCGAATGGCATCAGTGGAGAAGATTGTGGAAAGGAGGATGGTTATAGGTGGGTGGGTACTAATCTGTATGGGAATACCGCTTTAATCAGTGTTGACGACTGGTACATCATTTCTTTTTATTCCCACTTCTTTTTTATTTGTTCCCTACCGGATAATGAGACGGTTTCATCGCAGTTCTGTCATTTATTCCGGTATGTTTTCCTTATGAGCATTTTAATCTTATACACGATTGATTGCTTCTAGAGAGAACCGATCCGATGGATGATAGATCAAATGGACTGCAGTATGGATCACTCCTTGTCACACCATTCGATTATCAGATGACACGTTTATTTAATACTCGTCTATTGATCAAATTTAGTGAGAGATGGCATTATAATTCGCATATATTAGTGGCAATAGAACTGCCCTCAGTATCATTCCATCCTCATATGGTCACAATATATGCAAATGGTTAATCGTGTAATTTTGTCTAACTTTGATTAGTAGTAACTAACTGTTACGAACTGTTAAGTAATTTATCTTTACTTTACTTTCTGATGAAATTGATTGAATTGCAGTTAACTTTATAACTCTTTGCTACGACATTTCTTAATTTTTTCCTTCCAGGATTTTATTTTGGAATGAAGTGAAAAATCCCCTGCCATGGATCATCTGATAAGGCAATTAAACGGAGGGATCATTCCGGATTCCAGGAAGCAATAATTTCCATAACTGAAGGCAGATAGGAAGGATTGTAGTGTAAGATGGGTTCGGGTTCATTTATACCAAGGTGATTTGGTAATTATTTGTTAACCTTTGAACTAAAAAAACGTTTTGCCCAATGTGGCTGATTTTACCATGAATTAGAAGATTGTTGCTCAAATTGGTAGGTAAAGACCAAGGATTACCGTAGTTTCGGAATGCAAACTTTTAGCTTCGTTTTTTCAACCAACTAAATCAATCATTCGCAAGTCTATTTTAATATTATCACTTTGCAGGAGAATTATTTGAATTAAAATATCATGCATTAATATTCACTGTCATTATCATTTTAGTTGATTGATATGTTCTAGTTGATATGGATACAATGATAATGGAAACGTTTCTTGAAGCAGAGCTAAAAATGACTGTTAGTGATTGAACGTTTGAACGATAAAGTTGTGGTGTTAATTAGTTATGGTATTGTTTTTTTTAGTTCAATAATTTCAGTAAATCTGCTTGCAAATTTGTATTTTGGAGTATCATTATTGATTTTAGAGAAGCGTAAAGATGAGAGCATAAACGAATACAGGTTACTAAACAGTATATTTGATCTTTGCATTTTCACAAATATCATCTTTAATATGGTTTTAGTTTAATTTCACTTCGATTCTGTCTGGATTAAGCAACTGTGCGGGACGTATGATGTATAAGTTGCAGCTAAATTATAGCTTTTTTATCGTTTTGTGAAAATTAAATCAGTTGAATGAAGCGGCGTTTTCATGATAAATGCTTAACAAGCAGTCCGTATATCTATCTAATCTATCTATCTATCTATCCATCCATCCATCTAATCTATGTATCTATCTACCTATCTATCTGTTCATTTATCTATATCTATCTAATCTAATCTATCTAATCTATCTATCTATATATCCATCCATCCATCTAATCTATACATTTAATCTATCTATCCATCTAATCTATCTATTCATCTAATCTATCTGTCTATCCATCTAATCTATCTATCTACTTATCTATATCTATCTACCTATCTATATCTTATCTATCTACCTAACCCATCTACCTAATTTATCCATCTGTATATCCACACATATACACGTATATATATACATATATATACATATATATATATGTACATCTATATATGTATATATATATCATATACTGTATATACATATATATATATATATATATATACATATATATATATATACACGCATACTGTATTGTTATTGAACCATGGAACCGGTTTTTGATGAGCATACTGTAGAAAGTTAAGCTGGAGAAAATTGCCTGTCCTGGACTACTTAACCATTTGCACATGGTTCCATCTTATCCTTCTGTTCATATATGTTATTCGATGTGAAAAAAAAAAATTTAGTCAACAAGTGGAAGTGTTGGTTAATGTCTAACATCATTCTCAGTATTATTTTTACCTTCTAAATTCTGTGACTTCTGAAAAAAACATTTGGAAATTCTGCACCTATGTGCAGTTATGGATTGTGGAATATAATCTGCAAAATTGCTAGACAATTTCATATGTTTTAAATAACTGCGCGATTTTTCGATTTTATGGAAGAAGTCTGAAGTAAACGTTGAGAAGTGGATATGCTATAGTTACTGGGAGTGATATTTAGGCTGATTTCCTGCTTTATTTTCATTTCTAGAGAAAGCTCGAAGTTCACATTATAGGTAGTTGCATTTTAATGTTAATTTATGCAAAGTTTGTTGATGGTAGCAGGCACTAGAAATATGTTTTGTCATTTTTTAGCAAATAACAATCGGTGAAATAGCCAGGTTTTTAGAATTAGTCTTGGCAATATAAGTCGTTCTTTGGTTGGATATCTTTGATTTTTAGAAATAGCTGACTGTAGAACATCGGTAGAAACATCTGTAGAACATCTGATGACGCTTGGCTGCGTTACACAAATAGCTGTATTTGGTTGACACGAATGAATTTTGATTAGAATTATTGGTTCAGAAAATCAGTGTTTCAAAGTTTTGGACTCGTGATAAGTTTGATACATATCCTTTCTGTTTGACTTAATTTTTCGGTTATTTTAAAGATCACCAGGCAAGTAGTCTTGGGATAATTTGTATAATTTTAACTTAAGAAAATCGGAAAACTGTTTAAGTATTAATGATTCCGAATTCTTTGCACACATCTCATTTGCCCTCTGAACAGTCAGAAATTGCGTTTCCTTAGTGTTGTACACACTGGTTTTCGGTCTTATAATACTTTTGAATTTCAGGTTGTTACTTCTGGTTGCTGAATATTCGCCTTGCAATCGGCTTTACTGATAATGGGACTAAATGTTATGCAGTACGATTATTACATTCCCTATTATTTATTTTATATTTCTACTATCAACACAAAAAAATGATAAATTATTTCACAATTACATATGCTATAACTATGGCGAGTAACCGATTTAAATTCCTTACTATTATGGATCCATCTTTGCGAAATTTCGAAATTTCTTTTGGCAACACTCGAAGGACTTGTGTTTTCGATATATTTAAATCGTTCATGGGAATGATGGGTAAGTTTCTTTCTTAACTATAATTAGAACTGATAATGCTGTCATGTCCATGGCTTGATAAAATGTGAACGGAATGTTTATTTTGCAAACTGTCTTTGTGAAAATACAGTTTTGTTTTCACCGCAGCTTCTTATCTGACTAAAAATTAAAATCGTATATAATCTTTAAGTAAATTCCTTGCATCCAAGAACTTATTGCATAATTGTAAGATTCCGATATCTCTGTGATTAAAGTTTATCAACAAGAAAAATTCCCTACTCTACGAATCATTCTTTTCGAAACTACAGCAGTTGCTGTTAAGTTTCTAATCTGATATATAACTTATTGCGTTCGGTTACTCATGCATAGAAACTATGTTAATTGGTAGGCCATAGATTTGGTACAAACTTTCTTCACTGCATTCTTTCCCCTTCCTGATTTCATTTAGAATGACATTTTAAGCAATTCAGGCGCAGATGTGAGAGTTGCGCACATTCGAAGCCCAGAAAGAACTATTTCCATTGTTTGGTCGGAAGTTATTTTATCTGAACCTTTTCAGAAATCTTCTGTATTAATCGTCCAGAGCGACTCCTTGTAGCTTGCTTAGACTCGATATGCAAAAAAGTTGATTTTTTCCTAACATTTTCTATTCCAAATACTCGATTCAAAACTAGGTTTGGTACAGGCTTTCTGAGATTTGGGTTTTTCGTCCATTGCACCTTAATCCTTAAATCTTTTATGCACTGACCTTTTTGTATGCGTGTAAAGAGGAAATTTTTTGTTTTAGAGCAACAACTAAAAGTCGAATTATACGTCCCCTAGAAATGAGATAAGTTCTTTGTTAACTTGTAAAGACTCTTTCTAATCACTAGTGTCCTTCCAAAGACTTAATGTCCTATTTCTATGTTCTCCTTCTTGCATGACAGAGTTGCTCGCTTGACGGTATTATTGTAAATTGTCAATAACTCGAGGGAAATTCCTACGATTATACGGTCCCCCAAGAAGTACCCCTAATGACAGATTTGTGTATATGTATGCGTGTGTGTGTGAGTGTGTGTGTGTATGCACGTGGATGACTCATAGCTGCTCTCCGTCGTCATCATATCATTTGTTGTGCAGTGGAGGCGGTTGGGAGGGTGTGTGTGTGTCGGTAGTTGCCTGTCGGCGGGTGAGCCAAGCGGGAGGTTATATGGCGCCTCTTCCCGGGGGAAAGGCAGGGGTGAATTGGCTGTGAGGATGCGAGGGACGGTCCCCCATTGTTATCGGGGATGAGCGCGGAAAAGGGACGAAAGTTTATCGAGGTTGCATGTCGGTGCTGTGAGGCGCACGAAAGCACTATTCCTCCCACTGTCGCTCCGTGCGCTATTTTCAAGGCCGTATGACATGCTATTTCCTCCCCCGACCTCATTATCTCTCCTCACGATGCTCGCAGTACGTATCTGCTGCCCACGCATCACTCATCCACTGTCCCCCTCATCACTTGCTGAAGTCTCGCTGTAATCGATCGAATGGGTGCGCCCCGCCTCTCCACCAAATGTATAGAAGGGAGGTGTGCCTCATCAGATTTCCCCTATGTCTGTATGTGCACATTCGATGGATTGCGTCTCTCCGGGAGGGGCGCCTCCTTCCCCGGACATCGCCGCCAGCAACAGTCATAGACACCTCTCTGCGGTTATACTTTTGGCACACTCACATGTACATACACACACACATACGTACGCACACACATACATACACACACGCATGCTGCAGCACATTGCAGCGGGGAGCCCGACAATATCGTCAAGTATTGAGCGTTTTGGTTATGGTCGTCGTAGTAGTCGTATTTCTGTCGTTGAATTTGTCCTGAGAGAAAAAAAGGAGGAAGTAAAATGGAAAGTTTAGAAAAACCCTACTCCCCCGCCTCGTCGCGGAGGATGCGTCATTTATGATATATGTTGCTCGGGGAACCGGCTTATTTGGCACTTCATGAGGTTCTGGCTGGTGTACGTTCTATCTTCTCAGTTAACGCTGTTGTGTTGTTACATTGCCGAGAGGTCCGGGAATGTCGTTAGTTTGATTTCAGTTCGTTATAATAATAGGTTGAACGGTGCCCGAAGGTGTAGTAGTAGCAGCAGCAGCTGCTGTTGCTGCCTACCCGATTCACGGTTGCGAGCCGCCGAGGAAGTTTGTTTGAATTTATTGCATAAGAAAGCAGCAGCAACTGTATTTAACGGCGGTATTGGTCGCGTTATATTCCGCTACCATTACTATTATTACTACGAGTAGCACCATTAGTAGTCCTACTTGGATTTGGATTAAACAGGCTGAAGAAAAACAGAAGAAGCAAGAATAGTACATAACATCGCAATAATGGCAACGACGAGTAAGCTGTCATTTCGGGCGAGAAATTTGGATGCGACGAAATCGATGCCTGTATACTGCGCTGATGAATTACCCGACCTGGCCGAATGCACACCGATCAATCGGGCAGTGGCACAAATGCCAACGGGTATGGAAAAAGATGAAGAAAATGTAGGTGCCCTCTTCCTCTCCCACGTCAAACACTTCCATGCTACTTTTATTGCTTCAAAGAATTGTCTGATTTTCTGTCCTTTTTATACTATTTCCCATTGCGTTTGTTAGCTTAACAATCGTCGTCCTTCTTTTCCCTCTCCTCGGTTAATTGCGGTTTACTGCTATCTCTCTACAACAGCCGAATTGCAAATACATTTTGCAACAACTGGTCTCTCTCATCTATCTCTACTTTACTCTCTAGCATTATCGCTTACATGATATCTAATGGTTTCTCATGCATCCTATGAGGAGCATGGGAAATTTTGGAATTGCTTGTCTCACATCATCAGTTATAATTACTGTAATTACTTGCCTCGGTGCAAGTCATTCATTTGGTCTTGAAGACTTGTCATCATGTTGAAGATGGTTTAAGGAATTCCAAGACATTTTATCTGTTCCTTGACTTTACTAGAAGAGAAATGCAAATCAACCAATTGATCTTGGAAGGGCATAGCTGGTGGATCGAATGAAAGATCCGGTGTAGTGGCTGATGACACAAACCTCTTTTGGAGGGATCCCCATTTTACACATCACACTTAAATTTGTTAGATCGAATAGCCAGTGAAGTCATCAGATCAATTCCATTTCAGGTATTTGTAGCAGTCAGTTGTTAACGGTCGGTTTTTATGGGGGCTTTTTGGCGATAAATTATCACGAATTAGGTTAAGTGATCCCATGCATCAATAGTGCTGACGGAAGAAGATTAAACGAAATAATTTGAAGACTTTTGAAGTGGACGTTTTGAGGAAATTCGATCATGCCTAGCGTATTGTTACTCTGTGATAGTTGACCTCATTGATCAAACAGAGATTGTGTAGAATGCAGGGGACAGGGAAGTATTGGATATCCCAAGATTAACACCGCTATTGAAGGGGAAGGACGCATTATTGGTCAGGATGTAGCAGTTGGAAAGATTGAAGAACTTATATCCTATTCCTTATTATAACTTCGTGGGCATCCGTAGATTTAAATTGTTCCTCAGTTTTTTCAATTTACTCCATTTGGTTTCGTTGTTTTCTATTATGGAATTTCATCGCCATGTAATATGGATGGGATATATTTTAAAAGTTTGAAGGACGTTCTTTTTTTCAAACGGATGGTATATTTGCTGTCGTGCTGCTTTATAAACCACTCAGGGATAACCTCAGTAATCCTTAATTTTTCTGCTAAGTAGGAGAATTCTCGACTTTTGCACGCTGACCCTTGAGCGATTTAACAAATGACGTTTTGTAGCAGAATTTTTATATTTGAGGATTTTTCTACGACAAGAATTATACGCTTTCAAATTATGCATATGTAAACTGCGCATATTGTAGCGCATGTCGAAGGACTTTAATTTCTGATTTCGGGTCATTATATCTTTATAGTTACCTGTTATATTACCGATACCGATTTTTATTGGGTAGTGATGATGTGATATGAGTTGTGTGTATCTGTGTCGGCATTCAAGCATTTTCCCTGTGCTGCTGGGTGTGCTTTACATCAAGCTAAGATTCGCCTTTAGAAAGTGGTACTTCTGCACTTAAATTTACATCCATGTACGCACAAGGTCCTTTCATACCATCTAACACTTATGCCTATTGCTTGTTTTCGTTTTACAATTTCGGGATATTTTTTTGATAAGTCCCTAAACTGAACTGACTGGTTAGTTTTTGGGTTCTGTTATTTGGCTGTGATTTAGTTCTTGGTCTTCAAAGTCGGGAAAATATGGACAGTATATCGTCGGTTAATCCGCTCCAGTGGTAGAGAATGTAATGTCATTTATGGATTGTTGTTTATTCATGGGAAGAAAGCAACAATATTAGCATTGGGTATCTTTTATTGCAGGACATCTGTTCCTGATCCCTCTTTTCCTTCTCCATCTGCTGTTTGCTTAGCAAACCACCCAGATCGCCTTAGATCTTTTGTGCATAAGTGTATTGTTATGTGTAGAATTTAGAGTAAATGGAAGTACGAAAGATCAAAGAAGAGAGGAGAATGGGAGAGGTATTTTATGATGTAGGGGGACATGGACGCATCGATATGTTCACAGGAATGGTTGCGTTTAAAGGTCAGCGATCACCTGACGCTGATGGTAATCAGTGAGATGCTGTAATAATTCAAGGACGATTGTAAAAGCCTATCAGCAGCAACAATTATAGCATTTGGTAGAGGGTTATAAAATATTTCCGAAACAGTGTCGTTATGCATATTGAAGGGATCATCATCACTGCATCATATTTGACAGTGGATTTGTTAGGGAAAAGAATGGAACTAAGTTGCAAGTCAATAACTGAGTGGTATTCCGGTGGCATTCTATGAATGTCACTGTCGAACATATCTTGAAAGAGGAAGGGAGCTTTGTTCAAAACAACTGACCTCGAAAGAGGGAGTTTGAATATAGCTAAATCTTTGGTTGCAGATACTATTCTCGGTGATTACAAGCGTTTTATTTACTATTATTCCTAATATTCTTAGTATAAATTGTTATTCAGGTAGGAGGTACTCCCCTTCTGTGGCAGTGGACTTAAACTGGCTCTAATAGTGTAGGAGGATATGTCTAGTGACAACTCGACTTATTAAACGTAGTCAAATTTTCGGATGAATCCATGGTTGATGTCTGCTAGCATCTCTTTTCTTTTGGACTTATATAAGGATCCTGAAAAAGTTTAATTTGAATTTCTGCCAGTCGACCTGTCGGACCACAATGGAGATTAACTTGAGTGTGATTTTTGGTTCTTATACATTTCTTGATATGATGCGCAGTTTCACTTTGCCTTTTCTTTTTAATTACATCTGACACTTAGTTTGCATTACCTTTTTTGCTTTCGAGCTATGACAGTTCTTGGTTACTACAATCGATTTTGTTTTACTTTTTGGACATGATATATGGTCACTTTAAGCATTTTATTAGCAAATTCATATCTCAAAAAAAAGTTGGATCTTTATTTCTAGTCATGTACAGAATGTAATACATTTTCAGAGTATAAAAATTTATAGTATAAAAATTCAGAGTATAAAAATTCGGAATTTATATTCCGAAATGTTTTGAGGATCTTTTTATGCATTTTTTCAAGAGGTAGTTAGGGGCTTCGTTTTATTTTTCAGAACCCTAGGAATTTATGTACTTATTGTTTTGATGTTATATTACCCATAATTCTTCCTGACAAATTAGATTCTGGATTTTGACGTTGTAAATTCTAGGAGTCGCATTTGCAAGAGGCGATCCTTGCGCAGCAGGCCAGTACATCGGGTATTGCTGTAGAGAATCATGTTATACCAACGCCAAAAGTTTTCACTGTTGATCGTGGATACTATGATGCACTATATCCGGTACAACCAGCACCATCTATCAATCAGCTCATCAAAGTACAAGGTACGAATACTTCGGCTCTATACCGTTCCCATCCATTCTGGTGTAGTTTTATCTCCTAAGCTGTGAAATTTATATTTCAAAATCTTTTCGAATTCCTAATGCATGAGCCATACCTTTGCTTTGTACTAGGACATTCCATCTCCGCTTGCCTATCGAAAGTACAGAGAACAAGCAAATGCGAAAGAATCCGTTTTCTTTTCCAAGATGCACTTTAATTTTTGTCTGGGAAAAGCTTGGGAGGAAGATGACTTTAAATTTTATTGTAGTGACGAAATTTATGATCAACTGGCGAAAATTGAAAACAATTCGCTCTTCGGAAAAAAAAAAAATGAAAAGATTTAAGGATTTCCTCTGCCTTAGAGAAATTTCGTAATGGAGCAAGGGAAAAAAACGTCATTTCGGTAAATAGCGAGTCTTATTTCTGTTCCATTTACAAGTAAATTTAATGGCTGATTCCAGTTTCCAAGTCTTTCTGTACATCAAATCATAAATTATGCGCATAACCACATTGGTGTTATATTTATGCAGTTTTCATTATCATCTAAAATATGATTTTATAAATCTGTGTGCAAACGTAGTAAGGGACTTAGAAATTTCTTACTACTCTTGTATATTTTTCAAGACTCTTTTCGACAGTGTTCTGGTTGAGAAGTGATTTAAAGGAAAAAAGGTAAATTTTCTACCAATTGTAACATATTTCCTTCTATGGTGATGTTCCTCTTTTTACTAGTATTTAAATCTTAGTATTGAGATTTGGAATTGACAACGGAAATAGAACGAAGTCAAATACGTAAGAACTCGAGGAGAGTAATTTAAATAACACAGTGAAACCACGGGTGATGAATTTCATGTATTGAACGAAGTGTTTATGCAGTGTTTTACGTAATAGGATTTTGCCTGAATTTACTTTTGCTTGTACGAAAAAGATGAACGAGTTATTTTCGTGATTTCTTGGTTAATATAGGTGTAGTATAACTGGCTGGAACTAAATATTTTGTGGGACTTTGTACGTCGGTTAGCCTGCGTTATTCGGTTAGCTGCTCACAAATTAAACGGCACAGTAGAATTTTATCTCTTATCATTTCTTATCGAATTTCATAAAGCTATCTCGTCATGATTGATTTACACTTTGTAGGAGTTTTTGGAGGTTATTGGTTGGTAAAATTTTTTTATTATGATCTTCCATAGAGATTTTTTTTTGGTTCTTGAGGACGGAATTGATGTATTGACATGGGAAGAATTCATTTTTGAATTTTTTATCCGCATGGGTTAAACGTCCAGAATTAGGCTTCCCCTATCATGTTTTGGCTGAGGTACTTCGAAAAGCCTCAGAAAGCTGCGTCAAAAGTTCTTCAGTTAGGCAGTGGATTATGTATTCATGACAGGAATATGCGGTTTTTCTGGGCAGCATTCGACAGTTTGTTGTGGAGGAATTGAGAAATTTTTATAACTTTGTGATTGCGTGTTGTTCCATTTTCACTACTGCAGTAAGGAATTGATTGGAGGAGTTTGAAATTAGCTGGAAGATATCAAGAATAGCTGACGAAGTATATGTCTTGTTTTTATTTCGTTTTGAACAACACTAACGTTGGTTTGGTTTAAATGAATCATAGTGGAAAAGGCATGAGTGAAAAGAAAATAGATTTCGTAATGAGAGGGATTTTCATGGATTTCGTAATGAGAGGAATGTTCTTGTAATGAAAAAATTCGTTTCTCCCATCTAGATCTGATCCTAAACGATACAACTTAGGTTAATGAGTTTTTTTTTTACTGTGTCGCGTATGTTGGGGAAGGAGAACGTGTTGCTTCAAAAGTGATAACTTGTTAATTAGGTTAAGACTGAGATTGCACGTGCAGGTTGTTTTGCGAGTTTTCTGCCAATTCTTTTCGAGTTTTAATATTTCCTGTATATTGAAAATCCATTCGTGCTTGTACGATAATTTATGGCTTGAGTGTAATATGGTATTTATTCTGATCTTTATCAGGTCAGGTCATTTATCGATTGCGGAAATATTATTTCATCGTTTTCCGAAATGGGGAGATGAGGTTACGCTAAGCATGTTATCTATTTATGGTTGTTGCTTTTGAATTCTTCTCGTTTGAAATGATTCTTGTTTTGTTTGTTAGTTCGGACTAACTGGTGCTATTTATAGCTTCATTATCGCTTGGAAATGAGGAGCCTGATTATGATATTGATAGTGAGGATGAGGCATGGTTGGCCGAACGTGGGGGACTTACTGCAGCGAGTGATTTCGAAAAGATGATGGAATTGCTGGAAGGTGCCAGCAGCGGTTTACAAATATGCCAGCCTAATGAGGCGCGATCATTGCTCAAGGATTTCGAAACAGATCTCGTTGATGATGTTTATGATTACTGGTTACAAAAACGCAAGGCTAGTTTTTGTTCGAATTTTGGAACAATCAAAGATGTAAATCTGAAAACAAGGTGTTGATGCTTGCGGGTTGTTTGTCGGTAATGCGGTGCCTGAAATCAGCATATATGCGTGGACGAGAAATTGGGATATATTTCAGGATGCGGCAGCATCGCGTAAGATTGCCTCATTGATACCACGGGTAAAAACGGATGCACGTCGAGATGCTTCGGGTTCGGATATTGCTTATGTTGCGTTTCGGCGACGTTTAGAACGAATGCAGACCAGAAAAAATCGTAAGAACGATGAAGATTCGTATGAAAAGATACTGAAACTTGGCCATGATCTCAGCAGGGTTGTTGTTCTCTTCGATATGCTTAGACGAAGGTAAACAAACATCAGGTTTTTGTTGTAGTTATAGTTTATGGAGCTGATTCCCAATGAATTTTTGTAAAATCCAGATTTTATAAAATTCAACTTGGATGATTTTAGGGAACATACCAAACAGACCGTCATAGGACTAGATGACAAAATATGCAAATGTCGATGGGCTGTTTCTGACTTCAATTGTGTTCTTTACAACCACATACTGTCTAAAGTGAAATTGGAACGAAATACGACGATGAGCCCTACCGAAGAGTCGCAGGTGAGCGTTTTAACGGTTAATTCTTCGAGCGTATACTTTTCCTTCATAACTGTACGTACTGCGAAATGTCTGATTGTACTTAGCTGTTTGCTTTTCTATAGTTTTGACCAGGAGAGGTGGAAGGGTTTGATTTTGCTATACTTGATAATCATGTTCAGTGGTTTGATGTCATCAGTTTTCAGGATGAATTGCTAAGTAGTATGTCACCTACGAAAAGCAAAGCACAAAAGCGGAAACGACATTCCAGAACTTCGACATCTGAAGCGGATAAAGATCTAGTCAGTCGGACATGGTTGAGACGAAACGCAGAGGTAAAGTCAATATTGGTTTGAAAATAGAGCAGTTCAGAGACTGTTTTTTAAAACCACTACAGCATTGGGAGCTAAAATTTCTCCAAAGCAATTTTTTGAAGTCCTGACACAAGCAAAGTTGTGGTTAGCATAGGAAGAAGTATGATAGTAGGACCGCAGTCTTTTTACCGGAAGAGAAATAGTTTGTGAAACAGTTTGTGTGTGGCTGCAGTAAATAAATGTTCGGAAATCCTGAAACAAGTGATGTAATCAACTGACATTGATAGCTAATTAAAAATTCAGCTGTGGAATAAGCCAGCAACTGCTGCCAATGTACTGAATGCCGGAGCATCTCCAAGCACAGTTTCAACAGCTGATGCTGAGCGTAACGCAGAAGCGGCATTAGATGGCCGATATACATTTAAGAGACGACGTGGATGCAGATATCGGTCGAGTTTGTTCTCGAATCCACCGGAAGGTAGATATTGTAACGGTGCTTTCGGTGTATGACTCTATGGCAGCGAAATTGGAATCTTACTTTTAATGATATCTGTTTTGATTTCAACTCTCAGCTGTCGTTTTCATGCTTTGCCTTCCAAGAATGTTTTTCAGTTCCAAAGGTTAGTCCCGCAGAACGTTTTTACCGGACGTTTATGCCTTCTGCAAATGGCGTGCGCTGTATTGGTTACGCAAGACGAAGGATGGGGCGAGGCGGAAGGTTTGTTTTTTTTTCAGCATTGTATGGATCGCTAGTCTTTCATATTTGGAAGTTCACTCTTGCTAATTCGAATCATTTTGTTTCATCAGCATCTAGAGGCATGTTCCGATATATGTAGGTCTTAAACTGATAAGGTCAAATCATTAGTAAAAGTTTTTTTAGAATCATATTCGATCGTCTTCTGCTTTCTGCACCTTCAACATCACAGTCTGCTCCGGACCCACCATTCTGTTCGGTTATCGACACCACAAAGTTTAGTTTTTTTTTTCTAACTATTTTTTTTTTGTTTAACATTTGTTTTAACGTGATATTGCCTTTTTCGGAACGTTAACGTGGAGATATTTGGTTTGAAATACTTTAAATTTTATAAATGTTTAAAAATCATTCAGCTATGAATGTGTTTGTGGCTATGTAGTATTAATTGTATTTTGGTTTATAGACGATGATATAAATTTTCCATACTATTTAGAAGTTATCAGTGCAAGCTAACGGCTGTTGATGGCAGTAAGGATGATAATGATTCATCGGATTCTGATGACAGTCATAAGAACTGGGATGATGAAGATGAGCGAGAATATAGGAGACGGGAAGAGCTCTATGCGAAGCGGATTTTTGACATGTCCGATACCGGTTCCACGCAAAAACTTCAAAGTGGCGTAAGTATTTACAGTTTAGGATTAAGTGTTTAAAAATTTATAAAAATTGTCATTGGGATTTGCCTTCCAATTGTTTTGACTCTTTTAATATAGACTTTAATAGAATTCATGTTGAATTACAACTGCACACGTTTCAGTTATAACAAATTTTGCAGTTGAGTCGAGATGGTACATCATTGCGGGGTACTGGTGAACAGGTAGTGGTACTTGGTGAAGATAACAACGGGTCAGCATCGGGTATTGGACAAAATATCATGTCAGTCAATGGGGTTCGCGAAACGGATCGCTTGCGAGTTGTTAAGTGAGTACTGCTCCTGATTTTTGTGCCTTAGTTGGTGGATTTTTACGTTCTTTTTTATCGGCCAGAAATGAGAATTGTTTCTTTAAAGTTTGCAACAGAACGGACCGCCATTAAATGTCAGTGCAAGATCAGTCGGTGACTGCGGTCTGCAGCCCGTTTTGCTGACTGCATCTGTTGGTGGAAAAGTGGAAAAAGTAGCACCATTACCGAATGCATCGTCTGTGAGTTATCAAGTAAGTGATCCTTGATCTATTATCCATCTTCTGTGAATATCTTGTAATGTTGAGATGGGCTCGAAGTAAGTTTAATAGAGACAAAGACAAGAAGTACGGTATAGACCACCAGAACATATTAGGTAGGTATAGATGGTTTTAAAGCAGAATTTTGTCGCATTTACTATGGATATAATTTAGTGGGTCATGACTTTATTAGGAACACCGAAGATTCTGACACTTCACTTGGTTTACTCTTTCATATTTTTTTGAAGATTTTTTAATTTATGTTTTAAGAGGTCGTTCAAATATTTGGAATGGTCTGAAAAAAATTCGGTTTACCGTTATAAAAAAGAAATTGCAGCAAAAACGGGTACATGATCATTCCTTACGCGCTTCTTCACAAATATCGTTGTCATCTGAAACCAGCGAATCATCCCCGGTTTTTTACACGCATCTCCCGCCACCGCTACCTGCAACAACGAGGCTGCTGGCGGCGGGAGAGCAGGCGATCCATCGTCCTCCTCGAACGTTTGAATTCATCAATAGTTCTGGTATGTTGAACCAAGCACAAACATTGATCGTTACAACAACGCAGCCACCAAGGCAGGATCATCTGGAACGACAAATTTTAGCTATACCGTCTCAAGAGGTCATCATTGGTGGGCAAAGTATCAGACCAAGAGTAGGTTTTCGGGTCGATTTAATGATTTGTCTCTTCATTTGAACTTATTTGTTTGAATATATTGGAGATGTAGCCATGTTTTATTCTCATTGCAGACAGGTGGAAGGCGACGATCGTTTGCTTCAAGCGTTGCACAATTGTCGTCTCTTCCGCGACCGGAAATAAATTTACAGCGCTCAAATACTTGTGGTTTTAATGCAGACATTGTAACGCAGGCTACGCATTGTGTTGATACTAAACGACTTGAACTTGCCATAAAAGGTTCCGGAGCCCGCATCAAGGTCAGGATGATTTTAGTTGCGTTATGTGCAAGAAATTTTATGACTGATACTAATAAGTTGTTTTGATTGTTTGAATTATCATTAGTCGTTTTGCGCGAAAATCCTGGTTTTATCTAAGAAGCTGGGATTCGCATTTAATCGTACTGTCCCCGAAAACGAGTAGAAATGTTACGGTAATATTAAACTACTTGAATTTACTATAAAAAGCTCCAGACCCGCATTAAGGATGAAGTTAGCGATATTGAGTGTTACACACTGCATTGCGATACCAAATTTAGCTGTTTCCTAGCAAATCCAGAAAATTCTCTCTTCTTGATTACTGGAAACCAACTTTGGGTACATGTTGGGCGAACCTTTAGAATTCGAAAATTTACAAAAGCGAAATATCCAGTCAATATAGAATTGTTTTTTATCCTGCAGTTCCTTTAGTAATTATTGACTTATGTGATAATATTTTACAGCCTTCACCGATGATTGCGCATTCTCTTTTGCAATCCTGTCCACCGGAAACAAAGACGCTTCGAGATCTTTTGTTGGGAACTGGGCTATCAAATACGAAAACAGCGTTAAGTAACACAGCGGTTATGCCAGCGGTTACCAGAACATATACTGCCCCACAATATGTACCTGTTGTTGGCGATGCTCATCGCTACGTACCGTTCACTAATGTGGTTACAACTACTTGTAAGTTTTTTTGAAATGAATTTTGGGAAGCGGTTCCGTGAAACTTCTTGGACTAAAATCAGTAATTAGGCGACGCATGTGCTTTTAAATATTTTTTATGTTATAAGTATAATAGTATGAGCTAATTGCCTCCTTGTCTCTGAGACTGTCTAAAGTTTTTGTAGTGGAAGGATTGCAGTTCTCCCCTTTGCATTATGTTTTAAATCAACCCAAAACTTTAATTTAAATTTTGCCGTATTTAAAATCGACTTGTGTGAAGGAATTAAGGTAACAGTAATCTGTGATTAATTTGAAATTGTTTTTGTTTTGCAGCTTATTATATGCCAGTAACAGATGTTTCATCGCCGGGCAGTGAGAGTATGTCACCACCAACACCGCATGCTATGTCACCAGCAGTACAAAATCAATCAGCTCGGAATTATTTCGGAGTGACTGAACCGAAAATTCAAACACCTGTTGCGGTAGTCAGCAGTCGACCATCTCTGAACGGAACTCAGGTTGATACAAGACGTTGGTTATTTGGTATCATTATGATCTCGATCCGTTTTGTTTTTGAGATTAATGCACGAGCAGCAACTGTAGTTTACTTAGGAAACTATTAAATAGTTGCTGATTATTAGACTGTCTTGGGATGAGACCACTGACCTGGATTCCTTGAAACCTGGGGAATGTTTGGATCTGAGTTTCGTAACACGTAGGTTTCGTCTTCATCCAGGTGTATGTTGGTTTAGAAAACATAACACCTCAGTAATAGACGACATATCAAGTGCATGTTGACTTGGTGACAAGCAGCGTAATTCATACTTGTTTCAAGTTGATCCGCAACATGTCTTTTCCTCAGGCTTGGTAGTCCTTGCATCGTTTGGTTTTCACTCACGGTGCATGTAAGGCAAAAATATTGTTTTCTTTTGTTGATATTAATGGATCATTATAAGGATGGTTGCAATGTTTCTAAAATGAAGAGGGATCTTATAGGTAGCGGCGGTGCAATAAGCAAGACGAATGGTGGCAGTCGTGAACGCGAAACCTTCATTAGCTCTCCGCAAGTGGGAATTGAGTTACAACCGCATCAGGCTAAATGCCGCGTCGGTAGTGCTTCGTCGCCTCTAAATGCAGTATTGGCTACTGAAAAACCCGCTGAGGGAAATGCTGTTAGCCGAAGCGGAGGAAATTCAGCAGCTGCCACTGCAACGACACCTGCAGTTGTTGCGGAAGAAATGTATGCAGAGCCAGCGGGGGCCGGAGAAGATACTTTGAGCAACAAAGTTACGAATAATCATCGTGATATTGCTGCATGTCATGGAATGGTCAATTATGTCATTAATTGATTTTCATGCTTTCGTGTTGATGAGTATTAGATTCATTGACTACCTGCATTTACCTCTTTTTCCTCAAGTTTGAATGGGACATTAGGTTGCAGGTGGGTTTTACTGATGAATTTCCAAAAATTTGACATTATAAGTATCTTGTCGTGCCGTGAGTGCAATAGGAAATTTTTATTTGCTACGTTTGGTAAACAGTCAGTTTTTAAAATTTAAGATGGTGCGTTAGCTTCGAACAGAGAGTTTTACCCGTATTTTTATGTATCGACAACTTAGTAGCTTTGAAAGTTCTTGCGACATTTTCTGAACTTTCGGGTAGAAAAATGTGTTTTATGAGGATGAAAGATGGTTATTTGACACTGCAAGGATGAACGATATTGCAGGGTAAACTATAAAATGACTTAGATGCAGGTGTAGGTACTGCGCCGTTTGTAAGATGAGAGTTAAAAGGGGCTGGGAATTATAAAGTCTAAGGCCATGATTTT